TGATTTCGGGCGTACAAATCTCATCCAAAAGGTAGATCTGGGCTTCTATGATTGATCGAGCATGTAAAGTTATGAACTTTACGTGCATGCATGTAAAGTTATGAAGTTTACGTGCATGCATGTAAGTATAAGCTTTAAGGACCCAAATGAGGTCTAAAGGGGTGCATGGGCTAATATGGCCATAAAGCTTGCATCTTTATGCCATGGACTCGATTCTGGAGTCTAGATCTGAAGGTAAATCGACTTGGAACGTCCAAGTCTTAAGGATGAAGCTTATTGACCCCAAAACTCCATAAAGGGGCAAAGGAGAAAACCTATAAAACCACAAGTCATGTTTTGAGCTTGATTACCTGAAAGTGAAGAGAAAATAATGTTGCTCCTGGATCTAGTCCTTCTCCCTTGATCCTTCTTCCTTCCAACTCTTCTACTAGATACACAATGCACCAAAAACCCTCCAAGTCACTAAGAAAGCTCAAGTTTGCCAAAAGGGAATTAAGGTTTTGAAAGAAATGCTCTGGAGGTGATGGATGTTGGACTTGAAGCTCATAATGTTGTTTAAATAGGGTGCAAACCCTTTAATTAGGGTTTCATCTAGATCGGCCTACTCGTCGAGTCCAATCGCGGACTCCGCGAGTATATTACTTAAACCCGCGTCCCAACCTCGCATCTACTCGACGAGTTATGGCTGCCACTCGTCGAGTCACTAATACAATTGATATAAAAGTATATCAATTACGTACCAGAAACGGGGCGTTACAGTTCGTGTGTGAACAATTATCATTTTAAAGTCACCACTTTTGTATAATTTATGAATTTATGCAAAATAGTTAAAATTATTAATTTCAATATAATATTAAATAATTAACTTAAATCAAAATTTCAGTTAAACTTGAAAAAATTGATAACCAATTTTATAAATAGTTAAAAGTTATAAATTATAATGTTAAACCTAAATTGTAATCCTAAAACAAAAAATCATGTAACTATTTCTATAATCGTTATTAATTTTCAAATAAATAGCTTAAAAATAACTTACAATAAAAATAGTGAAACTATGTTGTTCGTGTGTGAATAATTATCATTTTAAAGTTAGCACTTTTGTATAATTTATGATTTTATGCAAGATAGTTAAAGTTATTAATTTCAATATAATGTTAATTAGTTAATTTAAATCAAATTTCAGTTAAACTTGAAAAAAATTGAGAAACCATTTTATAAATAGTTAAAAGTTATAAATTATAATATTAAAACTAAATTGAAATCCTAAATTAACAAAAAAAGCATGAAACTATTTTTTATAAGCGTTAATAATTTTCAAATAAGTAGCTTAAAAATAACTTACAATACTAATAATTAAAAGTGATATTATATAAAAAAATTATAATATTATCTTTAAAAACAAAAACAATGTTTGTTGTGTTAAATAATTACAATAAAAAACTAACAATATTTATCAAATATATATTAAAAAAAGTCAGATTTATGAAACAAAATTAAAATAATTAAGAGTTTCCAAATAGATTATTTTTAAATACTTACAACAACAATTAAAAGTAATATTATGTACAAAAATTATATTGTTACCGTTAAAAACAAAAACAATATCTGATGTTTTTAAATAATTATGATGATGAAAATTAAAATCTTAAGACAATAAATTTTTTAAAATTAATTAATTATAACAACTATAAATATCATTAAATCATATATTATACTTAATTTTTATCATGAGTAATCCGCATGTAGAGGCCATTAATAGAACTGAAATTATAGAATTTTAAAAGATGTCTATATTATCATATAATTCAAAACAAATAATATTTATACCAACTTAATATAAGATTTATTATATAAAAGCTAACAACGCCATTGACATATTTAAAATACACATATTAATTTGTAAAGATTTCAAATACATTATTGTATTTTTCCTTTCACCACATTTATTTGAAACTCTCAAGTCTTTTCAATTTCTTTATAATAATGATTATAACTTGGCTAATAAGTTTAAATAAATATCAAACCTAAAGTTTAACCATATATAAACTAAATTTTAGTATTAAAAGAATATCTTTACTTGTACTTATAAAGTTATGTTTTTTAACTTTTAACATATTATACTTAATTTATTAGTTTTAATATATTGTTTGAACAATTTGTATAAAATACTTAAATTATTAATTTAAATATAACATTACACGATCAACTTAAATATAAGTTTTAGTTGAACTTAAACAACCCAAGGAATATTTTGTAAAGAGTTTAATGTAATAACTATAGAGTCTTTCTAATAATGATTATATGCTGGTTAATGAGGTTAAATAAATATCAAATCTAAAGTGTAATCATAAATAAACTAAATTTCAGTATTAAAGTAATATATTTACTTATATTTATAAAGTTATGTCTTTAACTTTTAACATATTATGCTTAATTTATTATATTTAATATGTTATTATATGTAAACCATTATCAGTTTAAAGCTACAACTTTTAAACAGTTTAGAGAAAATACTTATATTATTAATTTAGATATAACATTACAGAGTCAACTTAAATATAAATTTTAGTTCTACTTAAAACACTTAACGAATATTTTGTGAATAGTTAAAAGTGATAAATTGTAATGTTAAATGCAAAAACTAAATTATAATCTCAATTTAACTAAAATATTTCCTAAATATATTTTTATAATCGTTAAAAGTTTTCAAATAAGTAGTTTAAAATAACTTACGATAACAATAGTAAAAAATAACTCTATATAAATGATTATATTGTTACATTAAAAATTGAAAACCAATGTTTGATGTTTTAAATAATTACAATGATAGAAATTAAAACGTTAAGTAGATAAATTTAAAAAACTAATTAACAATAACAACAACTATAAATAAAATTAAACCATATATTATATGTAATTTTATTTATGAGTAACTCACACATAGAGGTAATTCAAACGATTGAGATTATGCAGTTTTAATAGATGTATATATTATCTTATAAGTCAAAATAATAAACATATTATATCAACTTTGTATGCAAATTATTATATCAAATTTAATAACAACGTTATTGTTATATTTAAATATATATATATATATATATATATATATATATATATATATATATATATATATATATATATATATATATATTTGTAAATATTTCAACTATATATGTGTTTTTAAGCAACACACAGACATTCACCTAGTATCTATATAAAAGAGACATTTTTACTTGCACCACATGCATTTAAAACATCTCTGACTTTTCAATTTCTTTATAATAATTATTATAAATTGGTTAATAATGTTAAATTAATGCAAAAACTAAATTCTAATAATAAATTAACTAAACTACAATATTAGAATATCATATTTTACTTCTATTTGCAAAATTCCAACTTTAAATTTTTAACATATTATAGTTAACTTATTAGTTTAGATATGTTGTTGTATGTAAGCAATTGTCATTTTGAAGTCACGATTTTTGTAAAAATTATGATTTTATGCAAAATAGTTAAATTATTAATTTCAATATAATGTTAAACGTTTAACTTTAATCTAAATTTCAGTTAAACTTGAAAAAAATCGAAAGACAATTTTATAAATAGTTAAATGTTATAAATTATAGCGTTGAACCTAAATTGTAATCTTAAATTAATAAAAAAAAACCACGAAACGATTTTTTATAATCATTAAGAGTTTTCAGATAATTAGTTTAAAAATAACTTACAATAAAAATAGTTAAAAGTAATATTATATAAAAATTATAATGTTATTAATAAAAAAACTTTATTTGTTGTTTTAAATAATTATAGTCAAAGAAATTAACAATATTTATCAAATAAATTTTAAAAATGTTCAATTTCTGACACCAAATTAAAATAATTAATTGTTTTCCAAATACATGATTTTAAATAACTGAGAACAACAATAAATAAAAGTAACATTATATACAAAAATTATATTGTTACTTTTAAAAACAAAAACAATGCTTTATGTTTTAAATAAGTACAATGATAATAATTAAAATATTAAACAAATAAACTTTTTAAAATTAAGTAATCATGACAACAACTATAAATATCATTGAACTATATACTATATTTATTTTTATTCATAAATAACTCGCATATAAAACCATTGAGCCAATTGAGATTATATAATTTTAAAAGATGTGTATATTATTAGATAATTCATAACAAACAATGTTTATACCAACTTATTATATTATATAAGAGCTAACAACAACATCATTGATATATATATATATATATATATATATATATATATATATATATATATATAAATTTTAAATATATTATTATATTTTACGCAACGTACGAATATTCGCCTAATGTCTAATAAACAGGCTAATAAACTACTACAACATGTCTACCACAACATTTTCATCTAGGTACATCCATATTCTCTCTTGCCCATCTTAATCGCTCAACATCCATATTCATATCTAATATATTTATATAATTAATATATAAACATGTAATATATTAAAAGTCTCCATGGAGATTTCTGGATAAGAAAATTTGTCCATGCTTCTGTCTTAGTTATTATTATTATTATTATTTAAAATAGCCCATATAAAATCGGGTCCCAATTAAAGTCTTAGGCTTATTACTTGTCATTATATATATATTAATTCACAAATGGGTTGGTGAACAGGAACTTTTCGTAAATTAGAATTTTGCCACATGATTACTCCTTTTTACATATCTGCCACATTAATTTTTGCTTTACACGGTTCTAACCCCTGTTCTTTAACTGATTTAACACATTGGACACACCCACCGCCTTTATCTTTCCTTCTTTATTTGTTTTTCCCACGTAAGGTCAAACGTTCCTTCACCATTCGTCAAACCTTCCTACTGCTTCTCAACTCTTCTTCCTTTTTCTGTCGATCACTTCTTCAGGTTTGTTTCCTTTGTTTAATTTTTGTTCTTCGTTGTGTATTGTGTGTTTTTCGTTTCCTCTTTGCATCATGGCTCTTCCTTCCACTTCCCGTTTGGAATTCCGACAAGGGGTTTCGTCGTCGGCTTTACCTGCTTCTAAACGGGGACATTCTCCTCGCCTGGCTATGTTTCCTATGGTTAATTTGCCCTCGCCTTTGCCTGTTTATGATGACTTGGGTGATTCAACTTTCATCTGTCAATTTTGTTCCGCCTTTTTCTGGTATGCTGAAAGGGTTTTGTATTTATCAGAAAAGGATCGTCCCTGTTATACGCGATGTTGCAGGTCTGGTGCTGTTATATTGCCTTACCCTCTTCTTCCTCCTCCACAATTATCTTCTTTGTATACTTGTGCTTCTTTTAGGCAGAATATCAGAGCTTACAATAGCATGTTTTCTATGACATCTTTTAGGGCTGTGGTTGATGACGATATTAACAGAGGTGGAGGCCCTTATGTGTTTAAGGTATCTGGTCAGCTGTCACATTCTATAGGTTCTTTTTGCCCTAATGATGGTAAGCCTCCGAGGTTTTTGCAGTTATATATGGTAGACACGTAGCATGAGTTGTCTAATAGGCTGGCAGCTTTCCAGGACCCTACGAAGCAACCTTTGGATCCAGGAATTGTTGAGTTATTGATGGCTATACTTACACTACATAACGAATATGTACGTACCTTTAAAACAGCGAAACAAATTGCTGAAGAAAGAAATTTAGATGAATATGTGGTTTGTCTTTTCAATGATGTTCCGGACAGACGCTACACTCCTCCCGCACCTGGTACTTTGGGATGCATTGTTTTTGGTGACGACTGTGTCAGTAGTAGATACGATATACTTATACATTCTAAGGGTGGTCAGGCACAGCGGGTTAGTAACCTCCATCCAAGTTACATGCCACTGCAATACCCTCTGCTTTTCCCGTATGGTGAGGACGGGTGGTCACCTAGGCCGAAACTTTTCAATGAATCGGGTTCCAAAGCTAGAAACTTAACAGTGAACATGTACTATAGTTATCAGATACACGCACGTTGTAATATACACTCTCTTATACTTAATTCATGTAGATTGTTTCAACAGTTTTTAGTTGATGCTTATACATGTATCGAACAGTCTCGTCTTGAATTCTATCAAAATAATCAGGAACATCTTAGATCTGATTTCATCAGTGGGATCTATGATGCACTTTCTAACGGAGATACAGAAAGCCGTTCTGTTGGTAGACGTGTGCTTTTGCCCCCTTCTTTTGTCGGTGGCCCCCGATACATGTACAACCACTATCAAGATGCCCTCTCCATTTGTAGAGAACATGGGAATCCACAATATTTTATCACCTTTACATGCAATGTGAAGTGGCCAGAAATTAGACGATACATGTTGCTCCATAATCAAAACGATGTACATAGTAGAGCCGATATCATTTCACGTGTTTTCCACATGAAAGTAAAGACCTTTATAAGATTTCTTTAAGAAGACAAAACATTTGGACCTGTAGTAGCACGTAAGTCGTATATATTAATTCTTAGTTAAATATATATACATTATTTTTGTCTCTTTCATTTCTGGGTTACTTTACAATAATTTTAAACGACTTTTTTTTGTAGACCTGTACACAATTGAATTCCAAAAGCGGGGCTTACCTCATTGTCATACGCTGTTGTGGGTTGCTGCATCACATAAAATACAAGAGCCTTCTGACATTGATGCATTTGTTACTGCTGAACTGCCAGATCCATCATCAGAACCATTATTATACCACACCATTACAACGTGTATGATCCATGGTCCATGTGGTTTGCTAAATGTAAATGCTCCATGTATGAAAGATGACAAATGTAAGAAAAAATTTCCAAAACCATTCCAACACTGTACAACCTTTGACAAAGAGGGTTATGCACATTATAAGAGAGATTGTGTGGCACACCATACACTACAGAATGGGATCCAGGTAGATAATAGATATGTTGTCCCATACAATAAAAGGTTATGCAGTCGTTTTGACGCTCATATTAATGTGGAGTACTGTGGTTGGAATATGATGATAAAATATTTGTTCAAATATGTTTCCAAAGGAATGGAGCGGGTGAGGTTTGTTGTTCAGAAAAATGTGTCGGTTGGTCAACGTACCACCTCTTCACAACACATTGTCGTCGACGAAATACGAAATTTTGTTGACGGTCCTTACCTTTGCCCTCACGAGGCTGCCTGGCGTATTTTTGATTTTCCCATTCATGAGCGCGAACCATCAGTCATGATACTCCCAGTTCATCTCCCAGATAAGCAGACAGTTTACTTCAAAGAAAACACTCTCATCCATGATGTTGTTCAACATCCAGATTTCGGTTACAGTCTACTATTAGGATGGTTTGAAAATAATAAGTGGGAATCATTAGGAACAAATCTCACTTATGTTGCGTTTCCCACAAAGTATTGGTGGGATAAGGATGCAAAAATCTGGAAACGAAGAAAACGTATGACAAGCAGTGCGATAGGTAGACTTATATTTGTGCACCCTTCTGCAGGGGAATTGTTCTATCTACGAATGTTGCTTTGTCATCAGGTTGGTTGCACATCCTATGAGGATATCCGTACCGTTTGCAACAAGGTCTATCCAAATTTTCGTGTTGCATGTGATGCATTGGGCCTGATTGGAGAAGAAAAAGAATGGATGACCGCATTTACTGAAGCATCTGAGTGGGCAACTTCATTCCAACTAAGATCACTTTTCTGTCGCTTGCTTCTTCACTGTGACGTTAGCGATCCTATGTCCCTGTGGGAAATTGGATGGAGAAAAATGAGTGACGACTCACTGTACAATATCAATTCACAGAAATTGGGATCAAATTTACATATAGGTGATGCTCATTTACAACAATTGGTTCTGTTTGAGCTGGAAGGAATTCTTCAGTCCTCGACTCCTTCGAAATCGGTCACTGACTTCCATCTGCCAAAACCAACGGAAGAGACAATTAGACTACTGCAAAATCGACTGATTCTAGAAGAGACATCATATGACACAGACACACTCAAAGTAGACCACCAACGCATGCTATCACAATTAAATAGTGAACAACTCCGCATTTATAAGTTGGTTGTCTCGTCTGAAAAAGACGGACAACAGGTTCTCCTGTTCATTTACGGACATGGCGGGACAGGCAAGAGATTTCTTTGGACTACATTACTTGCATACTTCCGCTCTATTGGGAAGATCGCACTTGCTGTGGCTGCATCGGGCATAGCATCATTGTTGCTACCATCAGGTAGAACTGCTCATTCCAGATTTAGTATACCGATTGACCTTTCGCAAAAAGTCGCATGCAACATTTCAAAGAAAACCCTACTTGCAGAGTTATTGAAACGTACGTCTATCATTATCTGGGATGAGGCCCCAATGAATGATAGGCGTTGTTTCGAATGCCTGGACCGTTCCTTAAGAGATATTCTAGATTGTGATACTAAGGTGTTTGGTGGAATGTCCGTACTGTTAGGAGGGGATTTTCGTCAAACATTACCTGTTTCCCCAAAAAGTACAATCTCACATATCATTAGTTTGACTTTACCCAAATCATACCTATGGCCATGTTTTACAGTTTATAAGTTAAACCATAATATGCGTCTAATGAGTACGGGCACCTATTCAGAATCAGAGCTATCTGTATCAGAATTTGCAGCATGGTTACTAAACGTTGGGGATGGTGTTTTAGGAGAATCAGATCCTATTGATAAAAAAGACACAAAATGGATTGAAATACCCTCTTCCCTCACTATACTACCAGGAGAAAATGCATTGAAAAATCTTATAAATTTTGTATATGGTGACGGGATTCTTCTCAATCCTTCTCCATCTGTATTGGCAGGTAGGGCGATTGTATGTCCAAAGAATGATACGGCGAACATAATAAACGAGCTCGTCCTAGAACTTACCCCTAATAAGACAACATCTTATAGAAGTGTTGACACAATAGAATCTAATGGAAACCAATCTTTAGAATTTAGCACTTTCTATCCAGTCGAATACCTGAACGGGCTCACCTTTCCTGCTATCCCACCCCACAAACTATCACTGAAAAATAACACTCCTATTATGCTAATAAGAAATATCAACCAAAGAGAAGGTTTATGCAACGGTACACGGTTAATTGTTACACAGTTATTGCCAAACGTGATACAGGCAACAATAATTACTGGCACATCCATCGGAAAACAAGTGTACCTGCCCCGGATAAAATTTATACACAAAAGTCCTGAAATCCCTTTTACCTTCATTAGAAAGCAATTCCCAGTCAGGGTTTGTTATGCCATGACAATTAACAAAAGCCAGGGTCAATCACTATCTAAAATCGGAGTTTTTTTTGCCGGAACCAATTTTCACACATGGACAACTTTATGTTGCCCTCTCTCGTGCTACATCTCCACAGTCTATTAAAGTACTGATACAATCTGATGTTGGTGGTGCACATAGCAAAACAAAAAATGTTGTCTTTAAAGATTTCTTGCGCACAATTACTATTTATGAGGTCGAATGCATATCCATCTTTTGTAAACATAAATCATCTTACATCAGACTCTTGCTGCCTTTCTGTATTACAATAACCAGCAAAATATGAATATATTTTCTTATAGAACAAATTGCAATCCCTGCCTATCTTCCGAGTCTTCTATCATATTGATGTTCTACAAACATATATTATAATACATCACATCTTTATTGATTGATCATATCATAGTACATCTGTAAACATATACAATTTTCCTTGCAGAAAAACATCTAACATCCAGTTTTTTTTCTCAAACCTTGTGTCAGCCACATGTCTGAAATATTCACTGCAATCTCAGAGCTAGGGTATGCATCTCCGGGAACAGCACTGCAGGTACGCATTCTCCGTACATGGACGCCACAGGTCCGAGGTCATGAAACCTGGTTTTTAGCGGTCGACAAATATGTAAGTTTCTGAACCATCTTATTAATATTCATCCATTCCATTCATAAACTCACTTCCACGTGCTTCCTACTAATATATCAGGGTGATGCAATCCAAATTCTTGGTCAAAGAAAGGATCAAGGCTTTGTACAATCTGCTCTTGCTATTTCTAAATGCTACACGTTGACTAAATATGGATGTGGAGAACCAGACGCATACCAGAAATGGTTACACAATCCAATATACATCGCTGTTGGCACCGCGTCATGTATTACCTCTATCCCAGACACAGTTACTATTCCAACACACTGGTTTAACTTCATACCAAAAAGCCAAATACCAGCTTATATCAACCAATACCCAGGTATTATATTACATAAATGGACCACAAAATATTGACATAACAATACATGTTCTTTTACAAACTACTTTCAATATTAATATGTTGTACATACCTCTTACACAACACGTATGTAACATATTAGTTGTCATTCATTGTGCAGATTTCTTAGGAGTTTTCGTTAAACTGGTGGCCTGTATTAAGAAAAACGATGAACCTTACCTGCTCCTCATTCTAAGGAATGAATTGTAAGTGTTGCACCTTTTGAAAATATACATATATACTGATTACCATACTTAAAACATGCAATCAACAGTGGTGAAGATATTGCGATAAGCTTGTGGAAAGAATGCACTGACGCACCTTCAAAATTTAATCGGAACGCAATTCAGAATGCACCTGCTCCTACTGTCATTGTTGTCACAAACGTCCGAATCATGGATTATGGTGGTACGTTTGATGAAAAACCAATGTGTATTATTACTGATACAACTACCAATAAAAGAATCTAAAATAATCACAAAAACTTCATTTCAAGGTTCATTAAGATTAGGAACTAGTAGTGCAACTCACATATACGTAAATCCACCTATCAAAGAAACAGATACACTTCTGGACAGGTACCGTTCTAAAAACAATATATTATAATCATGTTTATGTCTATACTAACAGTCTCTAAAATTCACAGCTACAAGATAAATGCTGCTTCAATACCTCTGTTTGGACTTCCAGTGCCACTTACAGAGATAAATGAGAAAAAACATTCAGATCTCTTGGTACACTTCTACTCTGTCAAAGTTATATCCACCTTCCCTTTATCAATATTATCATATATATTATAGATTTTGATTCTTTAACAGGAAAAAACTTTTACAGCAGAGGCATCCATAATAGAGTACGTTTTTTCAGATTATTGGTACCAAGTTTTCTGTCCACAGTGTAAGATATCAACACTAAAACAAGGAAAGGACTGGTTCTGTCCATCACACGGAACGATCACCTCTCCAACTCCCATGTAAGTCACAACACCCTCAAAACAAAAATTGAAATATATAAACAAATTCTATGAACTCATATCATTCATGCACATAGGTACAAGCTTATGGCAACAATTACGGACCCAACTTCCTCAATGACGGTTACCTTATCTGACAACGCTGGCTAGAAAATATTTGGAACAACAGCAGATAAACTCATACTAGAAGGCGACCCAAACCATAGGAAAAAATTGCCCAACATTATAAAAGAGACTGAAGGTATCACAAAAAAGATGAAATTAAGGATCACAAACACGTCAACTGAAAGGAACATCCGTTTCATAATAACTGATATCGAAGACAACTCTTCTCAATCATCATCAATAACAACCCCACCTTCAGAAAATACATCCTCCTCTAATGTTCCTCATAAAACACCTACGTGTTCATCCGCACAAAATCAACCCAAAGTCAAGAGGGCATTAAATTTTGAAAATACAGGTAATACTCATTACACGTTAAACAAGTATACCAAAAAAAACAACTGATTGTTAACATTACATCACAGGTATGGACAAATCTGATGCAGGCCCGAAACGAGCACGTCGGTCGCAATAAAGACAATGGCTTTGTGTACCAGTTCTATATTCCTAACCCTTTGTTTATCTCCACTTCTTATTACCTCTGTAGTACCAACCCTTTTACTACTATTCCTACTAACTTAAAAACCATATCATATTTTGCGTATGTAATGTAACCTTATAAAATTACCATGAATATATCAACAGTGTTTACTAGCAGTGCTTACTGAGTCCTATAAAATATTAGATTATTAAAAAAAATCACAACATTTATGACCCCCATTTGCGAAGTTGAGTATTTATTTCCAAAAATGCGAAACTCCAGGGACAATATTTGAAAATTTCTGTTTTCTTCCCCAATTCGCATTCTACTGTGAAATACTTCGCATCTTCATTATTACACCCTTCGCATCCCTTCGCATTTTAACCGAAATAATCAAATGCGAACCACAAAATTTTCATTCTAGATGCGAACACAGTTTAGTTCTTGAACTCTAAACTTGCGAAATCAAAAATTCATATGTTGAACCCATATGTGAATATTAACCCAATTGACTTCAAATTGATTCACAGATATAAACACTCGATTGTTTTACTTTCGCAAAATGAACATCAACAACTCCACAATCGAGTTTTTAAATTCTTGCAAACAACAATTTCACAGTCCTTGACTTCGCGTTTTTCTTCACGAATCATCCCTCAATCATCAATCCAATTGCGAATCAAAACTCATATGTTCTTGCTTTATCGATTCATTAACTACACTCATACAAATGCGAACAATACTCAATTTCAAAATCGATTGAAACTTATAGCAAAGCTAAATCCAACTTCGCATTCAAAGCAGTGTTATTGATTGCATTCATGAAATACTAACAAGATAATATATTATAATACAAATATACATATTTTAGGTGGTGAAATCGTAACAGCCTAACAATTTGGTATGCAACTTTATTAAATCAATAAAAAAAGTTATGCAAATTGGAAAAATAAATAAAAATATATCTTTTGTTGTTTTAATTAAGGAAATAAATATTTTATATGAATACTCACCTGGAAAAACACATATTATAATTGTCTAATTTAATCGTAACAGCCTACCAATGTACTTTCTTCTTGACTGTTTGATTGTTTTTTTCTGTGTGCTGATTATAATTGTCTAATTTAATGTAAATTTTTTTTTTAACTTGCAAGGTACAATAGAACATATTACTCCTATAAAGGAAATTGACTCAATCAAGGACGATTTCACAATTAAAGTTCGGATCATACATCTTTGGACTCAAAAGTCAAGAACAATGTCTTATAATTGTCTATATCCCATTTTTAGTAATTTATTCTCAAAGAACAATGCTATAATCTGTAATTTATCATCTTTTAGTTTAATTTTCTAAATATATGTGTGGTTGTCTATGTGTGTGTATCTCTTTAAAAATTCTGCAATTTCATCATTTTATGACCCCCATTTGCGAAGTTGAGTATTTATTTCCAAAAATGCGAAACTCTAGGGACAATATTTGAAAATTTCTGTTTTCTTCCCCAATTCGCATTCTACTGTGAAATACTTTGCATCTTCATTCTTACACCCTTTGCATCCCTTCGCATTAATCACCTTCGCATTTTAACCTAATTAATCAAATGCGAACCACAAAATTTTCATTCCAGATGCGAACACAGTTTAGTTCTTGAACTCTAAACTTGCGAAATCAAAATTTCATATGTTGAACCCATACGCGAATATTAACCCAATTGACTTCAAATTGATTCACAGATACAAACACTCGATTGTTTTACTTTCGCAAAATGAACATCAACAACTCCACAATCGAGTTTTTAAATTCTTGCAAACAACAATTTCACAGTCCTTGACTTCGCGTTTTTCTTCACGAATCATCCCTCAATCATCAATCCAATTGCGAATCAAAACTCATATGTTCTTGCTTTATCGATTCATCAACTACACTCATACAAATGCGAACAATACTCAATTTCAAAATCGATTGAAACTTATAGCAAAGCTAAATCCAACTTCGCATTCAAAGCAGTGTTATTGATTGCATTCATGAAATACTAACAAGATAATATATTATAATACAAATATACATATTTTAGGTGGTGAAATCGTAACAGCCTAACAATTTGGTATGCAACTTTATTAAATCAATAAAAAAAGTTATGCAAATTGGAAAAATAAATAAAAATATATCTTTTGTTGTTTTAATTAAGGAAATAAATATTTTATATGAATACTCACCTGGAAAAACGCATATTATAATTGTCTAATTTAATCGTAACAGCCTACCAATGTACTTTCTTCTTGACTGTTTGATTGTTTTTTTCTGTGTGCTGATTATAATTGTCTAATTTAATGTAAATTTTTTTTTTAACTTGCAAGGTACAATGGAACATATTACTCCTATAAAGGAAATTGACTCAATCAAGGACGATTTCACAATTAAAGTTCGGATCATACGTCTTTGGACTCAAAAGTCAAGAACAATGTCTTATAATTGTCTATATCCCATTTTTAGTAATTTATTCTCAAAGAACAATGCTAAAATCTGTAATTTATCATCTTTTAGTTTAATTTTCTAAATATATGTGTGGTTGTCTATGTGTGTGTATCTCTTTAAAAATTCTGCAATTTCATCATTTTATGACCCCCATTTGCGAAGTTGAGTATTTATTTCCAAAAATGCGAAACTCCAGGGACAATATTTGAAAATTTCTGTTTTCTTCCCCAATTCGCATTCTACTGTGAAATACTTCGCATCTTCATTCTTACACCCTTCGCATCCCTTCGCATTAATCACCTTCGCATTTTAACCTAATTAATCAAATGCGAACCACAAAATTTTCATTCCAGATGCGAACACAGTTTAGTTCTTGAACTCTAAACTTGCGAAATCAAAAATTCATATGTTGAACCCATATGCGAATATTAACCCAATTGACTTCAAATTGATTCACAGATACAAACACTCGATTGTTTTACTTTCGCAAAATGAGCATCAACAACTCCACAATCGAGTTTTTAAATTCTTGCAAACAACAATTTCACAGTCCTTGACTTCGCGTTTTTCTTCACGAATCATCCCTCAATCATCAATCCAATTGCGAATCAAAACTCATATGTTCTTGCTTTATCGATTCATCGACTACACTCATACAAATGCGAACAATACTCAATTTCAAAATCGATTGAAACTACTGGTCCCAAAAAACTTACTATTAAAAAAAAAATAAAAATAAGAACAACATCCGATACTACGTAAACAACTCTCTACTACCATTATATATACATTACTATAAAAAAACTCAACTTCAACCCCAATAGTGTTAATAACAAATATTTTAATCATATACACACCTACACAAATATAGGCCGCATTACTAATACCACCAAAACAGGCCACCTCACACCCTAAATACAATTGCATGCAATGACTTATCTAACCTACTATAACAACAATGCCACCCACAGAAATTTAGATACACACACGTCATTGATTAACCACACCCATAACATCCCCCCCCCCCCCCCTCTTCACTCTTTTCATAAATTCTATAAAAAGCCAAACACGTACAATAGGCATATTAAAAGATGAACAACCAACAATTCCACCACGTGCTCCTCTCACTCATTGCTTACATTCGAGAAGTAGCAGATCTTATTGAAGCAGCTCAGACGAAATTACAAGAAGGCTTCACCATGGATGAAACCTCTCACACCTGTCTCTCGACAGATGGTGACAACCCCATCTCCAGAATCCTGAAAACAATCCTGCAAGATACCAAAGAGGAGGACCAGTCCATGGAAGACAACATCTCCTTCATGCTTGGATCAATTCATAAACGAATTGGAAAATACAAACGCACAATCAAAGATACAACTGATGACTAAACGATGGCGTTGTCTTTATGTTTCCCTATGTTTATTTCCTTTACGTTTATGTTGCGTTCATTCCTATCCTTTAGTGTTATCATGTAAAATACCTTCCATATGGGTATATAAATAAATATTATATTACAAACCAACGTACCTTACATAAGCAGTTAACCCACAACCCTCCAATCCACATAACGTCAAACTATCCATTGACACTTTCCACATAAATATTTATCATCATTTAAATGCAACACAGAGCCAAAGGCGCACACTTGATTCCTGCTAGTTATACTTATTTTATGAGGAGAAGGTCAATATACTTGTTTATTATTTTGTTAACTAAAGCTACCGGCCCATGTTGACTTCATGAAAGCTAACGTCATATACACTTTGTTTCAATTTGTTCTAAATTTGTAAATTATTGATATAAACACGCCAACAATTCTTAGACCGGAGGGTGTCCAGGGAAATTTATCTCACTTTTTTTTAAATCATACCTTATTTCCCTTATTTTTCATTCTTTCGTCTAAAAGCTAAGGAATAAGTGGAAAATCATTTCCTTATTTTTTTTATTAAATAAAATTGATTTTTTTATGATTTATAATTTTTAAATTAATATCAAACATAAAATTTAATTAAAAATAAAAACATTTCATTAATTAAAATAAAAATTACATTAAACCTAACATTTAAATAAGTAGAAAAAAATGCAAAA